TCTGGGAGCACAGGGTCGTGTGGCAGATCCCAAGGGGTCACTGAGCAGAAGGCTGGCAGCCCCTACACAAGGAATAACGAGCCCAAGGGGAGTCAAAACAGCAGGAAACACAAATTCTCTGCAGCAGAGCAGCACTTCTCTGTGTCTGGTAGTAGAGTCCAGACTGGTGAGCAGCATGTGAAGTCCAAAACGTACAAAGATGCAGAGATCATTATCTCTGATGAAGAGCAGTGTGAGGCAGATGAAGACAACAAAGGAGACAGAACCAGCCAGGATAATGTGTCAGAGCCATCTGCTGAGAAGTTGCAGATGCACCACTGCCAGAAGATGGCATCGCACCAGCCAACAGGCTCCCAAAAAACTGCTTTTACCCCCACAGCAAAGCCACCCCTGGCCCGTGCCTACATTCTGCAGGCTCATGTCAGCAGCTCAGAGGATCTGAACAGGAACATCCTGAGGCTGGCTCCTTCCACTGCTGCAGGGCCCATGGCTGAAACTTCCAGAGCAAGGAGCCTCCCGGGGTCAGCAGCACCAAAGGTATGTCCCAAACCCCTTCCTGTCCCCAGCACTGAAGCCAAGGCCCAGCTTGAATCCCAGCCCTCAGTGATGTTCTTTGAGCTCCAAGCCACTACTGCTGTTCAGCAACATCTCCAGCTGAGCCCTTCAGAGTGTGGCACACTGGGGATGGGCTCCAGTGGGGATGGTGCTGAGAACGTGGGTGAGGACAGTGACACATCAGGATCTGAGCAGACACCTTGTTCTTCAGCCTTCCAGAGTCCAGAGAGACATCCACCTGCAGCCTCAAATGGAGGTAAGGCAGCGTGGAGTTGTGTGCCTGCAGGGGTGTGGGGGTGTTCCATTAATCACTTTCCCAAAATATCCAAGGAGGGTGAGTTCACATCACTGCCAAGATCTGTTCCTGCAGCATCCAAGGAAATCTCTTGGATTTGGGGCACTCCTGTTTCTGCTTGAGGGGACTGCAAAGCTCCCTGCCTAAAGGAATTGGTGCTTTTGTAGGGAATGCCCTTCTCTGGGGTACCCAAAGGTGTTCTTGGCTGTGCCCCAGTCCCAACATCCCATTTTGAATACTTTGGTCTTCCATTTTACCCAGTACCCCCACACAGTATTTTGGCTGTACTTGAGAGAGTCCCTGTGGGAAACTGGAGCTAGAGCGGGGAACTCAGGTCTGAAGAGAAAGAAACGAGAGGAAATAATGCAGAGAAATTGTGGCCAAAGCTGCACCAAGGCCAGTGGCAAAACCTCCCAGTGCTAGCAGAATTTCCTATGCAGGACTCCACACATTGCTTTACTCCTTTCAAGAATTAAGGTTTTTGTATGTGCTGTCCTGCAGCACAGGGCCTGGGCATGTCCTTGTGAAGGGCAGAGGTGCTGAGGTGGCATTTGGGGTCTGCCTGGGATGTGCTTGGCCCTGAAAAGGCTTAGGGGTTGTTGTTCCTTGTGGAGCCATAACCACACAAACTGCCACAGTTGGGGTTTGGGAGCAGTATTTGACTATTTTCATAACTGACATCATGTGTCATGTGAAGGGACTGGGAATTCTTCTGGGAGTGCCTGTAGTAGCTGTTTCTGCCAGGGTAACTGGCTCATGGCTCAGAGGAGGCCTCAGCATGATTGATTCATGAGCTGTTCCTCTCTGCACCTGGAGCAGCCAGCACAAAACAGGCCAAAACCCCAAAAAACTGGGACAGCCATCAGTCTTTCAGGATGGCAACAAAACCTATAAAAAAGAACCTGTTGTAAAAAAGGGTTCTAGGTGTTGGCTTTTCCATCACCCCATGCTCAGCCCTGGCCGAGTCACAGGCGAGCAGATGGAGCTTTCCAGCAATCCAAAGAATTCATTTCTCATGCTACATCGAGCTAGGTGGATGTGGGATTGCCATGGCAACTTGAGAGAGAGCCCAACTGCAATCCTGGCAATCCTTTAAACAAAATCATAGTAGACTTTTACTCACCTGTTTGTTCTCCCTCACCATCCATCCCAACCTTTGGTTCATGAAAGGGAAATTTCCCTTTGTGGCAATGAGCAGGGCCACCTGCCAAGGGAGAGGGACCCAACTTTCCCTGGAGAGCTGGGCACTGTCGAGTTGTGCTGTTTGTGGAGAGAACAAATATGACCTGCAGTTCTAGAGGAAGGGGTTTGGGAGAGTCCTGTCCTCTCTGAATGGCTTCCAGAAAGCAGAGATAGACACTATCCTGTATCTCCTTGTGTTTTCCTGATCTTTGTGGATTCTTCCTGTTCACAAAACTATATCTTTTCTTTTAGATGTGCTGAAGAAGCAGGAGAAAAAGAAAAGCAATACCATTGGAGACATAAAAGTGTTTAAAGAGTGGCTGAAGGGGCACCACCCCTCCGAGACACGCAAGATCCACAGGCTGCCTCCCGCAGACCTCGACCAGTACCTGCTGTCCTTCTTCAGCTCTGCCAAAAAACAGAATGGCATGGATTTTTCTGCCAGTTCCTTAAACATCTTCAGGTGCAGCATCAACAGGTACCTCCAGGAGCACCACTACCAGTACAGCATATTGAGAGGGCCAGAGTTCAAGGCCTCTCAGGAAGCCTATAAATTAAAACATCGGTACTTGGTTCAAAAGAAGGAGGAGCAGTGGAATGTTGTGGAGAACCTGACAAGTGAAGATGTGGAAAATCTTCTCGAGAAGGGAATTTTAAGCAAGACAAACCCTCAGGGCTTGTTGCACCTCATGTTCACCAACCTCATTAGGGGGTTTGGGGCAAACACCCACCACCAGGCCCACCAGCTGTGCTGGGGACAGGTGGTGCTGAGGAAGACCAAAGGAGAGGTGGAGTACTTGGAGTGGAAGGATGATCTGAGCCCCAAGGGAAATGAAGGGCAGCCAAACCCACTGCTCGTTGCCAAGCCTGAGGATCCAGAGAACTGCCCGGTCTCCAGTTACAAGGAGTATGCCAGGAGGAGGCCAGCAGACATGCTGGATGACAAACACCCTCTTTACCTGTCTCCCAAGTCACTGTACTCTGTCTGGGACAAAGTGTGGTACATCAGGAAGCCACTGTCAAAAGCCAAAATTAATAATATCTTGAAAGTTATTACACAGGAAGTCAGAGGAGCAGTAAAGAAGACCAAGAAATAGGGGTGTCCCTTCAGCTTTGCCCTTCAACCACTCCAAGGCTGCTCTGAAACACAATCCTACTGCAATATTTGGTGTAGGTTGAGAACAGACATCCTTCTGCTGAGCCTCACCTTGGCACTGAAGGTACCCACACATCTGCAGTGCCTTGGCTTTCAGGGAAGTTCTTTTATTGTTGTTTCTGTTACTGGAATTGATAATTCAGTGAGTTAATGAGAGTCTTCAGTTTCACATTTGCCAAACGAGTTAATGTTCTACCACACTGTCAATGCTGTTAGAAACCACCACTGCTGACACACAGAGGGCTTGGGGGTGGCAAGGCCTGGCCAGGAGTGTCAGCTGCACCCACATTTTGAGGTGACACCCCACAAGCTCAGCCTGTGGGGAAGGATGAGCAGCAGGAGAGTGATGGTGCTGCCAATCCCAACCTTGCAGGAACACTTCTGACAAGGTTCAGGTCATTTCCCTTAGGGAAAGATTCGTAGATTGAAGAAGTTGTGGCTGTTCTAAGAAGTTATTTAAAGTGTCTGACAATGTTGAAAGGTTTTATGGTAAGTGGTTTCCCTGGAGTGCAAAACACAGCTCCACAAAGGCACTGGGAGGGGTGCTCAGCTCTGCTCAGTGTTACAGCTCAGGCAGGTTTTTGGTTGCATTGTTGGCGGAGCCAAATAAAAGAGCCTTTAATTCAGTCCTGTCTGTCTGTGTCTGAACAGCAGGTGATGCTTTCCTGGAACACTGGGGTGTTCCCTGTTGTGCTCAGTGTGCCCTCCTCCCAGCCCAGTGCCACAGAGCTTTGGGCCCTTTGAAGCCCTAGGAGCCATTCCCATGGTGTCAAAGGAAACCTTGAGGGTCAAGCTCTTTGCCCCACTTGGTCCCATCCAACCAACTGAACATCAAGAAGTAACTTCAGGATGTTTGAAGCGACATAAAACCAGACAAACTCCTCAGGTGCTGGAGGGTGTCTGCTGGCTCCTCTTGTGCTTTGGAGCACTGGTGGCATCACCATGACACCAGACTGAGAGCTGTCCTGCTGGTCCTGGGTGACCCAGCTACGGTCACACCTCTGCTCCCTGCTTCCCTCAGCCCCCAGACCACCCCGGTTTGGGCTCTTTCCTCCCCATTTCTGGTCGGTTCAGTCCATGCCCAAAGCTCGGGGCACCATCTGCCCACTCTGACCTGTCACAGCACCCGGGCACCTCCCTGGGGCTCCTCCACCAGGGAAACCCCCGGTCAGTGACTGCACCGGGACCCTCCATCAGCAGAGTGGGGTCGGTACCGGGGTCCCGGTGGGTCCGTACCGGACCCCGGTCAGCTCTTGTGGAGGGGGTCAGTACCGGGGTCCAGACGGGACCATTTCGGGGTTTCAGTGGATCTGTCCCGGACCCCCATCAGCATTTGCTGAGAGGGTCGGTACTGGGATCCCTGCAGGTCCATACCGGACCCCGGTCAGTGCTTGCAGAGGGGGTCGATACCGGGGTCTCAGTGGATCCGTACCGGACCCCGGTAAGCGCTTGAGGATGGGGTCGGTACCGGGGTCCCGGCGGGTCCGAACCGGATCTCGGTCAGTGCTTGCAGAGGGGGTCGGTACCGTCTGTACCGGGGTCCCGGCCGGTCCGTACCGGAGCCGCGGGCGCTGCCCGGGAGCCCCCTAGCGGGGCCGGCCGGACGGGCACGGGGCTCCCCCCGCGGGTGGGGTCGAACGGGACTTTCAAGCCCACCCGGTGCTCCCCCATCCCCGCATCCCAACCCCCAATCCCAGCCCGGGGCTCCTCTGAAACACCGGAGCAAAACCAGCAGAACAGGCCTGGAAAACCGAGGGAGTGTGACAACTCTTTAATAAATTAGCAAAATAAACAGCATTTATGTATATATTTTTTATATTCCATTGCTGCATCTCCATGGATCACAGGAGTTAAACCAATGTTGATTCCCAAGTCCCACGGCAACACCGATCCAGAAGTCTCAGTTCAGGTACCCCCAAGGCAATGCTCAGCCTTGTGGTACTTAAAAACCTAAAACCACTGAGAAATAAAACAGCTTTTTTGTAAGCCTGAGACAGCTCCCGAGGGGCAAAGTGAATTATCGGGTGATTTCACCTGGCTGGCTCCAGGCGGAAGTGATTAAAAAGATACTGATCCAATTTTTTCCCTCTTAAGAAAAAAAAAAAAGTAAAAAAAAAGTGTTCCTCCACCCCGCAGGGAGGAGGAGGAGGAAGGAGCTGATCTATTGCATGGAAGGATTATCAGTTTAACAATAAGCCAGATTGATTAGCAGGGTTCACGTCTCCGATTGTTGCGGTGGGTGGAACTGATGGAGTATTTAGGTCATGCACCAGGCGGTTGTGAGCAGGACCAGCCCCCATGGCGGGGTCCCTCAGTCCTCATCCCGCACGTACTGCCCCGCCTCCCAGCGCTGGGCCATGGCGCTCTTGTGGCGGAACACTCGGGTGCTTTCCACCACCTGCAGAGACCACAACGGGCGGGATCTTTGTAAAGGAGAGACTTTCACAACGAGCTGGGTTTGCAGAGCTGCTCCCACTCCCCCTGCCGGCTCCCCAGCCTGACCCATGGACACCCGAGTGGTGCCCGTGGGAGCCAGGACCGTCCTGTCCCCCCCTGTCCATCCCACAAAGCCTCCAGGAGTGAGGGGAGCTCCCCAGCCCACTCTGCCTGACCCAGTGCCCACCCAAATGGTCCCTGTGTGAGCCAGGACCGTCCTGTCCAATCTGCTCTGCCTGACCCAGTTTCCACCCGAGTGGTCTCAGGACCATCCTGTCCCCCCCTGTCCATCCCACAAAGCCTCCAGGAGTGAGTGTGGGGAGCTGGGGAAGGTGGGAGGTGTCAGGGCTTTACCTCTGTGTTGACCTTGTCCACCGGTTCGATGCCTGCGTACTGTGAAAAGAGGAAAACACGATTAGATAACGGCAGCCTGGCAGGGGAATATCCACAGGCTGCTGGATCTGGGGCACAGGAGAGGCAAGGGAAGGCAGCACGTGCAGCTAAACTCTCCCTGGGCTTGGGGGAACATCCCAGGATTCCCCACAGGAGAAAGCTGCTGCTCCTCTCCAATCCCACCCAGTGCTGGCAGCTCTGAATAGCAGGCACTGCCTGGCTGTGATGGTGCCACCACCACCAGAGCTGAGCAGCTGGATCAGTCAGGAGCAGCCAGCTCCAGCCCCAGAGCCACCAGTCTCCCCCAGGCTCAAGCCCCCCCAAGCACTTGGCACAAGCAGGAAGAGCATGTTCACCTTTCCATCCTCCTTCACCCTCCTCCTCCGCTCCTCGAAGGGGCTGGAATGTGCTGAGTCAGGGGTGAGGGTCTCTGCACTGCCCTGGGAGGAACTGGTCACCCTCAGCGGGGTGAAGGACGAGATCAGCCCCAGGATGCCCGGCTGGTGGGAGGCAGGAGAGGAGGCAGGAGACTCGGACACGGAGTAGTTGCCACTGGCACCTGAGGCAGCTGTGAGAGAAAGAGCATTGGGGGGTGACCTCAGTTCCACTCCCAGGGGGTGGAGGCCCACAGGAGTGTCAGGCCCCTGCCCCAAACCTGCCTCCAGAGCAGGTCCAGCAGGTTTGGTCATAGCCTGGACCCCATGCCTGGGGCCCAGTCAAGGAACAAGGAGTAAAATGCATGAGCTGGGCTCTTCCAGCCCTGTTTGCTGCTGTAACGTGACACAAACTCATCAAGACCTGAGCATCTGGAATCCTGCAGAGCCTATCCCTCCTCAGCAGCAGTTCTGCTGACTCCAGTGTGCTGGCATCAAATTCTGCTACCAGCACAGAGAAATCCTTAGAGCCATCCCACCCCAAATCATTTCTCCGTCCCTGCGCTCCCTTACCAGAGCTGTGCCGAGAGCAGGAGCTCTTCCAGCCCTGTTTGCTGCTGTAATGTGACACAAACTCATTAAGACCTGAGCAGCTCTGGAATCCTGCAGAGCCTCTCCCTCCTCAGCAGCAGTTCAAGTTGGTATCAAGTTCTGCTACCCGCACACTGAAATCCTTACAGCCATCCCACCAAATCATTTCTCCGTCCCTGTGCTCCCTTACCAGAGCTGTGCCGAGAGCGGGAGCCCTCCTGAGGAGCAGCACTGCTGTAGGTGTCCATCAGCCTCCTGCGCTGCTCCTGCAGCTCCTCTTCCCTCTGCAGGTCACTCCTGATCTCCTCCTCGATCAGCGCTGATGTTTGCGGCTTCCCCGTGCGCAGCCGGTACTGCTCCTCGCGGCCGTCCTCCCTCCTCTGCGTGCCCATGTCCTCCACGAAGGACACCTTGGGCTTCCAGAAGGAGAGGTTCAAATACTCCCTGGGCAGGACAGCAGCGCTGCTGGGGCTCTGGGTGGAGCTGGGAAGTTTTCCTCCCCGGGAATCCTCGCTCCCCCATTTGCTGGTGCTGGCGGAAGCGTGCGGGGACACCGAGGGCAGCTCCCGGCTCCTCTCGCTGGCGGCGAAGCGCGGCTGGGACAGCTGGAAGTGGGCGATGCTGGCTGTGTAGCTGGGGATGCTTCTTCCAGCCTTGCTGTCCTCTGTGGGGCTGGGCTGCTCCACCACAAACTCTTTAAGCCAGCTCCTCCTCTCCTCTGCCCGCTTCAGGGGAGTGGGCTTCTCTTGGGGGGCTTCCTCCTGCTCGAACACCTTCCTGCGCTCCTCCAGCTCCTGCTGCGTGCCCCTGTCATAGGCCCCCAGCAGCCTCCCCTGCCTCTTCAGATCTTCCTCACGCTTCGTTTCCTGCTCGATTTCCCTCTGCACGTAAAGGGAAGCGCGGCCTCTGTCCTTCCCTTTCCTGCCCGGGCCGGGAGACGCGTGAATGTTGAGGACAGGCTTGGTCTGGATCTCCACCAGCTCGCTGCTGGAGGTCAGCCGCTGGATCCCCCTTTCCTTCCAGAGGTTCTCCTCCCTTTCCAAGGCCATGCGGATCTCCCTCTCGATGGGTGTCTCGTTGCTGACCCTCGTCCCGTTGCTGCTGGCCCTCACATCCACGTTGAGGGTCTCGTTGGTGGTGCTTCCATCGCTGGCGTAGCCTGCAGTGGTTTCAGTGTACATCTCACCCAAGCCAGAGTCCAGGTCTTCTCTGGACCCTGATTTGGTCAGGATGGACACCTTCCCAACGGGATGTGACCTTTCTGTGTGAGATTTTCTGGGAGTATAAACCTCCTCCTTCTCAGGTGTCTTGTATGAGGACACACCATAAACCTGGTAAAGGCTCTTGTCTGTCCCGCTCTGGCTTGATGCACCAGCACTGCTGTAGCCTCTCGTACCCTTTGTGGCCATCTCAGGGCTGTACCACTCTTCTCTGGAGACTTTTGTCACTGACTCTGGCCTTGGGGACATGGCCTGCTGCCCTGGGCTGAAAAACGAGCTGGGGTTGGTCTTCTCCAGCATCAGGAACTGCTGCCGAGCCGCAGAGAAGTTGATCTGCTCCGTGTCAATATTCTCAGGGTCAACGGGCGTTGCAGCCCTGCCTGGGGAAGGCTTGTCAAACCAGATGGCAAAGCTGGTGGGGACACTGCCTGTGTGCCTGCCTTCACCTGGGCTGCTGATGGAGCCCAGCTCATCCATGGAGCTCCACCTCTCCGCTATGGTGGAGCTTTTCCTCATGGCCTGGCTGCGGATCACCTCCTTCCTCTCATCTTCCAGCTCCCTGGCTTTCTCAGGGGAGATGTTGGGTGGAGGGACCCTGTACAGGTCTTGCTCCTCGTCATCATAGAGCTTGGAGGGTTTCCTCTCACCCTTGTAAGCCCGGAGGTCGTACAGGCTTCCCGATCTCACCACCTCCAGCTTGGACTCCCTGTCCGGGGACGGGATCCAGACATCTCTTCCACCCTTCAGGAAATACGAGGGTGACTGGGACCTCCTCTTCCAGCTGTAGCCATTTTCCAGCCTCTGGCTGCTATGCTGGGCAGAGCTGAACACATCATCATCACTGCTGGCCCTCAGCTCTGCCAGGGAGTCGTGCCTGTGCGAGGTCTGTGGCTGCTGGAACACAAGGTGCCTGGTGACCCTGTCCATCTCCTGGGAGCTGTCACTGCTGTGCCAACCTTGTCCCACTCAGGGGCCACTGCTCGGTTTTGAGGTCACCCTCAGAGTCCCAGTTCAGCAGAGGCCAAGGGTCTCGACCTGGCTGGCCCTGCAGGCAGGAGGGGAGAGCAGCCATGAGGAACAGCACAAGGAGCAGAGGTTGAGATGCAGCCCCTCTCCCAGCCTGGTTCCACTGTCCTTGGGACATGGAATTTCTAGGCTTTAGCCCTTGAAATTTCAAAAATAGCCCAAACACTCATCCTCACAAAACAAACTCCTCTCTCAAACTTCTCCACATCCCTAGGACACTTCAACCCTTTAATCCACTGCTAAGCATAACTAACTTCCTCAGTGGAGGACAAAACATTGCTTCTCACCTAATTCACCTTTCTGAATAGAAAACACCAGGCCCAGAAGGACCAGCCAACCTGCAACTAACAGCAACCAAAGCTGCCACCACCCTCCACTCTGACCTAATCAAAGCTTAATTAGGATCATTCACCACACCAGCCTGTCCTGTGTGCGGCAGCACAGCCAGAACACAAAGCCCAATTCCCAACAGGAGCTGCCACAGAGCCCAGAAATCCACCCCACCTCTGTCCCCCAGCCTGGCCGGGTTCTGAGGGAGCTCAGCCAAACCTGCCCAGGCACTCAGTGCTGCCTGCACCTCCAAAGGCAGCAGTGCTGGGGAAGATGAAACAGGAAAGCCTTATAAATATGATTGCCTGGCAAAAGATTCTGAGAATATAGAAACTATAAGTGAGATTGAATGAAAGCAAGCTTTGAAATACTTCAGTTACTGAACTAATGGAAAACAATGGTGTGGCTGGCTGAAGGTAATCCTCTTTTGATCAAACAATTCCCTCTGCTTGCAGACAGGTCCAAGGGTCAGAGCAGACCCCACAGCTTGGCAGAAGGGGCCCAAAGAGGAGTTTTTAGGGTTTAAAATGTAACACAGTATGGTAATGTAATGATTCTTATAGGCTGTATGGAAATGCTATGGGATTTGTGTATTGTACTAGATTGGTTAGTGAGAATCAGAATATTCAACACAGAAGAAGATTTATTGTATTGTAATGGGAACCTCACTCTCTTATCCCTTTTGCTCTCTCACCCTCTCATCCTCTCTCCCCCTCTCTCCTCTCGGGCCTGCTCTGAGCTGTGTTTGGCAGCTCCCAGCAGGGCCCTGCACCCAGGCCCTCTGCAATAAACCCCAAATTCCACAACCTGGCTGCAGAGATCTCTCATCTCCATCCATCCTGACAGTGCTACCCCCTGACACTCCTACACAGCAGGACCTCAGCCACAAGCTCCTGGTGACCCCACATCCATCTGGGCACCAGCAGCCTCGGCCTCTCCACGGGCACAGGGCAGGGAGGGAGCTCAAACCCTGGGCAGGGAAAGGTTGTGCCAGGCCAGGGCCACTCCTGCGTGGAATATCTCCTTGTGCCAATTACAGAAAGGAGCCTCCAAATAGCCCAGCTCTAGAAACTGGGGTCATAAACAGATTTTCATGGCTCATAAAATGAGGGGACTTTAACCCCCCCTGGCACTCAGGGCAGGAGGGAACAGCCCCAGCCTCGGGGTCAGGCCTGGAACAGCAGATCCCAGACAGGGAGGGGCAGCACAGGTGGGTCCCCATGAGCCAGTAGCTGCCACCTCATCCCAGATGCCATCCTGGCTCCAGAACTGGTGGCACACATGTCACCTGCACACAGGCTGTGCCTGGAGGCAGCACTGTCACAGACACATTTTATGAAAAATCCTTTCTTTAGGATTTTTCCTCCTGAGAAGCTGAGAGCCATCAGGAACAAAATATAAACATTGATTATCTGCTGCTGTGGAATGCAGCAGGTCCATCTGTGATTGGTCTCATGTGGTTGTTTCTAATTAATGGCCAATCACAATGAGCTGGCTCAGACAGAGAGTCTGAGCCACAAACCTTTGTTATCATTCCTTCCTATTCTATTCTTAGCCAGCCTTCTGATGAAATCCTTTCTTCTATTCCTTTAGTATAGTTTTAATATAATATATATCATAAAATAATAAATCAAGCCTTCTGAAACATGGAGTCAGATCCTCATCTCCTCCCTCACCCTGAGACCCCTGTGAACACCATCCCAGGCAGCACCACGTCCTGTGCCATATTTGCTGAGGTGTAGCCACGGCTTTGCCCTCACCTGCGAGCCCTGGCAGGTCGGGGTGTGGCAGCCATGGGCACCATTCCCAGGCATTCACGGCCTCCTGGGAATGTGCAGCAAAACTGGAGCGAGGCCACGGTGACAGCAGGGACAGCCCTGGGGCCACAGCCCAGGTGAGGCAGGTGCCCCGGTGTTCCCTGCACCACCCCGAGCATCCTGGCTCACCCCCAGCACTCTGTGCCTGCCTCCTTCATTCCTGCAGCGATTCTGGTGCCCTCCAGCCCTGCCGGGATGATCCACCATCCTCTCCCTCCCACAAAACTCCCAGCCAGGAGCATTTTAAACCTTTCCTGGGGCAGGAGCACGTGTGTTTCATTAGCTGGGACATCCTGGCCAGCCCCGGGCGATGTTTCACCGCTGGAGCTGCTGCCCAGCCCTGTGCCCAGCCCTGTGCCCAGCCCTGGCGCCTCAGCCTCTCTTCCTGCAGCTGAATTTACCTGTTAATTCCCCTGCTGTGATTCACTCCGGCTCTTTTATTGCCCCCAATGACGAGGATAATGAAAACCGTCTGCCCACGCCTCTCACCATGTTTGAGGGGATGAAACCCCGGCTCCAAAGGGATCCCCCTCCCTGGGGAGTGCTGGCACAGGAGGGGAGCAGGGACATAGAAACCAGCTGGGCTCTTATCAGGGCTCCACGCAAGCAGAACGGCCCCTCCCAGAGCTGCACCCAAAACATTTCACCTCCCTCAGCTCCCTCTGGGGCTGCAGGGGCTCCAAATTCCCTGTTCTGGGCTGTCCCCAGCCCAGCCAAGCACTGTGAGAGGTGCTGGGCTCAGCAGATGGCATTGCCACCAGTCTGGCATGGGATCCCCCTATAATGAGACATCTGGGGTGATTTCCAGTGTTCTCCCAGTTTGGGGGTTCTGTACAGGGCTACAGACCCACCCTGTGCCCCCCAGCCTGAGCCAAGGGCTGCCCCAGGATGGGCTGGTGCACACAAACACCCCAGCACGTGTCCATGTCCCTGTGGTGCCCACCGCAGACAGTGCCACCATCCCTGCACACCCTCGGTGCCATCTCTGCACTCCTCAATGCCACCATCTCTGCCCACCTTCAGTGCCACCATCCCTGCACGGTGCCACCATACCTGCACGTCCTCAGTGCCGCCACCATCCCTGCACACCCTCAGTGCCAGCCCTCCCTGCACACCTCAATGCCACCATCCCTGCCCACCTTCAGTGCCACCATCCCTGCCCATCCTCGGTGCCACCATCCCTGCACACCCTGAGTGCCATCCCTGCACACCCCAGACAGTGCCAGCCCGGCCTGCACGCCTCAATGCCACCATCCCTGCATGCCCTCAGTGCCACCATCCCTGCATGGCCATGGGCACACAGCCTCCCCCCGGCGCCTGGCACTGCCCTCAGCCCCCAGCACGCTGCACTTACAGTCCATGGAGCTGGCAGGGCAGGGGTCCCCATGTCCCCAGGGCTCCCAGCTGAGCTCTGCCTGCCGGGGTGTGGCAGCCCTGGGGTGTGGGGGGTTGGAGGTGCCTGCAGGGCCCTGATAAGCTCAGCACGGGGAGCTCTGAGGGATTCCAGGAACCACCTTGGGCTCTGTGCCCTGTCCCCACGTTCCTGTGCTGGTGTCACCCATGCCCTGGGGCTGCCCTTGGCTCTGATGCTCTGATGCACCAAGGTGCCAACAGCCATGTGCCAGGGTGGTGTGGCCATGCAGCCACACACAGACCTTGCTCCAGACTTTCTGCCCCTCCATGAATGGCGCTGAGGAGCCCTGAAGCTTCAGCAGAACCTCCATGCCCAGGTCTCCCCTCACCCTGTGAGCCCCAGAGGAGGGGATGGCACCAGAGCCCTGTGCCAGGCTCTCCTGTCACACCACAGGGCCTCTCACCCCGTGTTTGCCCTCCTGCCACGGCAGCCCTGGCACTGCCAGCCCCAGCTCCTGCAGCAGGGGACATGCCACCTGCTCTGGGCACCTCTGGCAGCTGCCAGGATAAGGGCAGGGCTGTGCCACGGCGTCCCTGGTGCCCTTGGTGCCTGGATGTGGCTGGATCTCAGTGGGGTGGGCGACATTGCCATGCCCAGGACTGCCCTCCCTCCTGGCACGTGCCAGGCGCTCAGCCCTGTCCCCGTGGGACATCCCTGTCCTTGTCCCACTCCTGCCAGCCCCACTGGCACCCAAACACGGCACTGGTGTCACACAGAGCCCAGCTGTGGGTGCTGGGGGTCCCACTCACCCCCTTGGTGCCCCACTTAACCCCTTGGTGCCCCATTTACCCCATGGTGCCCCACTCACCCCCTTAGTGCCACACTTACCCCTTTAGTGCCCCACTCACCTCCTTGGTGCCCCATTCACCCCCTTAGTGCCCCATTTACCCCCTTAGTGCCCACTCACCTCCTTGGTGCCCCACTCACCCCTTTGGTGCCCCATTTGCCCCTTGGTGCCCCACTCATACCCTCAGTGCCCCATTCACCCCCTTGGTGCCCCACTCACCTCCTCAGTGCCCCATTCACCCCCTCAGTGCCCCACTCACCCCCTCAGTGCCCCATTTACCCCTTGGTGCCCCACTCACCCCCTCAGTGCCCCATTTACCCCTTGGTGCCCCACTCACCTCCTTAGTGCCCCATTTGCCCCTTGGTGCCCCATTCACCCCCTCGGTGCCCCACTCACCCCTCAGTGCCCGTTCCTGCTGGGCTGGCACTGCCTGGCCTGGGCACAGGGGCTGTTCCTGTGGCTGCCAGGCTGCTCTGTGCTTCCGGGCAGGTGAGCTGAGCCTGTTCTACCCTGGGGCTGAGCCAAAGTCCACAGGTGATGCCAAGGAGCCAGGAGCGCTCCACGCCCGCCTCAGGGCGTGTGCTGGCACCTGAGCTGGCACCAGCGAGGGGTGAGGCCCCACTGCCCCAGGAGTGAGCCCTGGAATCCCTGCCTTGGGGAGAAACAGGACCTGAACCAGCCCAGGGATGGACAGAGCCCCTTGGCAACGTCGTGATGGCACCTGGGGGCATCCAGGTCCCCTTTACCTGGGCAGAATCCCCTCTCATCCCTTTCCTCCCGGCATCCTGGGTGCCCCAGACCCCTCTGGAATCCCTGCCCTGGGCCTTCAACAACATGGGGATGGACAGAGAGACCCTTGGCAACGTGGTGATGGCAGCTGGGGGCATCCAGGAAACTGGGCATCCATGTCCCCTTTACCTGGGCAGCATCATCCCTTTCCTCCCACCATCCTGGGTAGCCCAGACCCCTCTCTGCCCCAGGAGAGAGCCCTGGAATCTCTGACCTGGGGAGAAACAGGACCTGAACCAGCCTGGGCATGGACAGAGACCCTTGGCCATGTAGTGATGGCACCTGGGGGCATCCTGGAAACTGGGCATCCATGTTTCCTTTACCTGGGCAGCCACATCCCCTTTACCTGGGCAGCATCATCCCTTTCCTTCCAGACCCCTGGGTGCTCCAGACCCCTCTGGAATCCCTGCCCTGGCCTTCAACAACATGGGGATGGGCAGAGAGACCCTTGGGCACATGGTGATGGCACCTGGGGCATCCATGTCCCCTTTACCTGGCCAGCTTCCCCCCTCATCCCTTTCCTCCTGGGTGCCCCAGACCCCTCTCTCTTCCCCCATTTTCTGCCCCCACAACGATGGAACAGCAGAACCCACCCCAAACCTCCCACCCTCACCCTCCCAGCACCCCCAGCCACCCACGGTGCCTCCAGGCTGGTTGTTCACACGGTTTTATTTGCTCGGTTTTTGGGTGTTTTACAAACAACGGGGTGTGGGGAGGATGGGATGGGAAAGGGAAAGGGGAAGGGAAAATTCAAACGGGGCTTCGGCGCAAGTGAAAAGCTCAGGGGCACGGGAAGTGCACTTCAGCAGAGCTGGGAGGGGACAGGGGGGATGTGGGGCGGGGTGGGGACGATGCCAGGCCCAGCACCCGCTCCTGTCACACCCCACACCCCACCCGGGGGTCTCGTCCTGCCCCCCAGCACCCCCAGGGCCGGACTGGGCTGGGGGTCGGAGCCAAATGAGGGGCAGGGGGTGCCAGGGAGGGGAGGGAGCCCCAGTTTGGGGCTAAGGGGGATTGCAGGGCCCACAGGGTGGGATGGATGGGGTGGGTGGTGTTGGCCCCTGATGTGGGGTGACAAGAGGTGACATTGCCCCCAGGCCGTGCCCTGCTCTGCAGCAATGGGGCTGCAGCGATGCCCAGCAGGGCATGGAGGGGCAGGAGAGGCTCCCCTTGCCCTGGCAGTGCCCCCAATGCCCCCCTTGCCCTGGCAGTGCCCCCCAAGCCCCCCTAACCCAGCCCTGCCTCTCCCATGGGCTGTGGGTGCCAGGTTGGGGCTCAGCACAGTGACTCCAATGGGGGCAAATCTGCAACCTGGGGGGCACCAGGGGTGGCATGGGGACAGGGGGTGGCACTGCTCACACAGGGGGAGTGTGGGGGAAGGAAAGGCCCATCCTTGGGGGAGCTGAGCCCCATCCTTGGCTGTTTGACCAGCGGTGTCCTGGTGGGCTGGGCAGCTTGGATTCTGCCCCACACACATTTTGGGGAACCCCCAGGGCAGAATGAACCTTCTCACCTTTAAAGAAGGATCTCTCACCCTGCCCAAAGCTCCTGGGGAGCTCAGGGGCAGCTGATGTGGGGCATTGGGGACCATGGGGGCTCCCCCTGCCTGCCCCAGCTGGTCTCAGTGGGGAGGAAACGCTGGTGCTGGTGGTGGAATCCCCACTGAAGGGCTGGGGTGCAGGGTGGGGCAGCCCCTCTGTGGGACACCGCAGCCCTGGCAGCCCCCCGTGCCTCAATTTGGGGTGAACTGGGCTGCCCCCCACCCTGGGGACCCCAAAGCTGCAGCCCAGGAGCCCAGAGCGTGGCAGAGACAAGAAGGGAACACGGTGCTGGGTCACACTGCTGCTGCCACGAGGAACCTCAGGACCCCCAGCCCATTCCTGCCCCACAGAGCTGAGCCCCCCAAGCTGCCCCTCCCTCACTGGCACTGCCCTTGGCGGGGCATGGGCACAGTTCAGCCCCCTCAGCTGGCACAGTGAGGGCTCCAAGCTGAGCCCAGGAGGAGCAGGGCAGGCTCTTCAGGAGCCCCAGGTGACCCTGGCCATCAGCACAGCCCAGTGCCAGCGAGGGATGGACGCTGCCCTCCATGCCCTTCCCTCGCTGGCATTGCCTTTGGTGGGACACGGGCACAGTTCAGCCCCCTCAGCTGGCACAGTGAGGGCTCCAAGATGTGGAGATGAGCCCAGGAGGAGCTGGGGACAGCCTGGACTGACCCTGTAGGAGCCCTATGCCATCAGTGCAGCCCAATACCAGGCAGGGATGGATGCTGCCCTCAGTGCCCTTCCCTCCCTGGCATTGCCCCAGGGGGGCACGGGCACAGTTCAGCCCCCTCAGCTGGCACAGTGAGGGCTCCAACTTGTAGAGCTGAGCCCAGGAGGAGCAGAGCAGGCTCTGCAGGTGCCCCAGGTGGTCCTGGCCATCACCCCAGCCCAATGCCAGGCAGGGATGGACGCTGCCCTCCATGCCCTGGGCACGCCCTGCCCTGGAGGGTTTGGAGAGCGCAGGGATGAGGAGATGGAGCAGAGATGTCCAGGGGCAGCCAGCGGCCAGCAGAGCCAAACCTCGCCCTGCTGAGCTGGATGATGGAGGCACAGAGGGAGCGGCTGGCACGGGGCTGGCACGGGCCTGGCTCCCATGCCCACCGCGGGCTGGCAGCTCCCGGGGACTCATCCACGGACACAGCGACGTCCTCCGATCCCCTGCCCGGCGGCTCCATCCCCGGCGGCTCCGGGGCGGTGTCGGTGGCAGCGGGGCTGTGCTGGGCACGGGGCGGGCGCACCGTGGGGCGAGGGGGGCACTAATAAACACCACAGGCAGCGCTGGTGGGGGCGGCACGGGGCTGGCACCGGGCGCGCGGGGCGGGCATCCCCGCTGTTGGCACGGCGCTGGATGTCCCCGGCTGTGCAGAGAGAGGGGCCGGTGTCCGGTGGGATGGGGGGAACAGGGGGCTCGGCGCGGGGCTCACATCACCGTGCAGCACTTGCAGCGCTGCTTCTTCACGTCTGTCTCCTGCTCGGCCTCCTTGGCATCCGTGGCGTTGGCACCGTGCCCCGCCGAGCCCTCCTCGCCCTGGGGCTGCGCCGGCTCCAGGGCGGTGCCGTTGGGCGGCGTGTGGTCCTTGAGAGCCGGCTCCGCCTTGCCCTCGGCATCCTCGATCACCACCAGCTCGGCCTTGATGGTGCCCTCCAGCCCCAGCACCTTCTTGGTCTCGTTCTCATCCTCCACGTTCTGGTAGCCCATGAAGATCATGGTGACGGGCTGCTGCTGCTCCTGGCCGCCGTCTGTCCCCTCGCCCGGTGCCACCTTGGCCTGCAGCCCCGTGATCTCCCGTCGTGGCGTCGCCTTCTGGCTGCCCGCGCCGCCATTGGCCGGGGTCTGGCGCCCTTCGGCCTCGTCCGCCTTGTGCAGGAGCTCGTCCACCTCGGAGGAGCTCAGGGGGTGAGCCCCGTTCTGCAGGGCCCCGTCCTCGGCGCTCACCGCGTGCACCACTGCGGGGACAGGAGAGGGACGGTCAGAGGGGCTCGGGGTGCGGGCCCCAGGTGAGCTGTGTGAGCCCTTCCCCTCTCCAAAGGTGCTGCCATTGAGGCTGGGGCTCCCAGACCATCCCAACCATCCCCTTTTTGGTCACAGTGACCTCCTCATCTCCAAAGGTGCTGCCACCAAGGCTGGCGCTCTCACAGCATCCCAACCGTCCCCTCTACGGTCACAGAGTGACCCTTTCCCCTCTCCGAAGGTCCTGCTGGGACTCCCACAGCATCCCAACCCTCCTCTCTGTGGTCACTGAGTGACCCCTTTCCCTCTCCAAAGGTGAGAGGAGCTCGGGATGGGGACACCAAAGTTCCTGCTATCAGCCCCAGCTCCTGTGTGACCCCTTCCCCTCTCCAAAGGTGCTGCCACTGGAGCTGGGACTCCCAGAGCATCCCAACCCTCCCCTCTGCAGTCACAGAGTGACCCTTCCCCCTCTCCAAAGGTGCTGCCACTGAGAATGAGACTCTCACAGCATCCCAACCCTCCCCTGTGGGGTCACAGAGTGACCTCCCCATCTCCAAAGGTGCTGCTACTGAGGCTGGGACTCTCACAGAATCCCAATCTTCCCCTCTGCAGTCACAGAGTGACCCTTCCCCCTCTCCAAAGGTGCTGCCACCGAGGCTGGGATGCCCACAACATCCCAGAGCTGCTGTCAGACCCTCTCTCATCACCTGGCAGCAGCCAGGGAGACTGAAATAAATAAAAGCCCAGTGGAAGGAGCTGTTCCCAGAGCCTCAGGCTCAGCCAGCCCTGCAGGAGCCAGGGCTGTTTGCCAGGCCAAGCTGCCACGGCAGGACGGTGTCTGCTGGCAGCCAGGGCTGGTGTGACACTCTGCCAGGTCACCACTGCCACCTCTGAGCCCCCAGAGGTGCTGGGCAGCTGCTGCCCCACTGTGTCCCCACCACATGGGGCTCTCCCACCCCACTGCTCGTGGCACTGGGGCTGAGATGTCATGGCCAGAGCAGCCAAGGGCTCCTTGTGTTCTCCTCTTGCCCTGGGCCATGATGTGATGGTCAGAGGGTGAGGGACAGTGACCAGCCTGGCACGGCCATGGCCACACAGAGGGGCTGAATGGGAATGCTGTGATTTCCTTGAACAGGGGTTTGTTCCACCACAGTTCCCAGTAGAATGCTCCACTTCCATGTCTTGTCCTTGCCACCACGATGGTGCTTTGGGTTTGGCTTGTCCCTGTCACCACAATGGTTCCTTGGGTGGGCTGGTCCTTGCCACCATGATGGTCATTTGGGTTTGGCTTGCCCTTGTCACCAAGATGGTCATTTGGGTTTGGCTGGTCCCTGTCACCACAATGATTCCTTGGGCGGGCTGGTCCTTGCCACCATGATGGTCATTTGGATTTGGCTGGTTCTTGACACCACGATGGTCATTTGGGTCCTTGCCACCATGATGGTCCTCTGGAGAGGTTCCCAGATGTTCCCCAAAGCAGGAGCTGCAGACAGGGACCAGTCTCTGGTGCTGCACTTCTACCATCCCCATCAGCCACGTCCCTGCTGGGACAGGCCAGCATGGTGCCAGTGCACGTTCCCTGCCCATGGGACAGTGTTGGACAGCACAGATCCTCTTCTCTGCTCTCCAGCAGTGCAGGGTGACGATGTGCAAACCACCAGGACCATCCACACCGTGCTGCCATGACAATCCTGCCATCCACCGGGCTGGGGCTGGTGAGGGATTGTCCTCAGGAGCATCCCCTGCCCTTCCTCACCCTGCTGGGACGTTTGGGTGGCCTCTCCCTGTCCCCTGGCCCGTACCTTTCAGCTCGTCCTCGTACACCTTGACGCCCTGCACGCAGTGGTTCTGGGGCAGCATGGTGGTGCTGGACAGGACCTTGGTCTCCCCAGTCACTCTGTCCTTCTCCACGGTGATCTCCACCGAGTACATGGCTGGGACACAGAGGGGACAGCGCGGGTTACGGTGCCCTGGCCCTGCCCGTGCCCTGCTCTGAGGGTGGCGGCAGGACAGAGCGTGGCAGGAGGGCTGTGGAGCTCAGCAGGGATCAGGAGCGCTCAGAGGTGCCCAGGGACGCTCAGTGATGTTCAGCAGGGCTCAGCAGTGTTCGGAGGGGCCCAGCAAGGCTCAGTGGTGCCCAGCAGGGCTCAGAAAAGCTCAGCAGTGCCCAGCAAGGCTCAGCAGGGCTCAGTGATGCTCAGCAGGGCTCAGAAGTGTTCAGCACTGCCCAGCAGGGCTCAGTGGCGCTCAGCAAGGTTTAGTGATGCTCAGCAGGGCTCAGGAGTGCTCAGAAGTATCCAGTGATGCTCAGCAGGGCTCAGTGGTGCCCAGCTGTGCCCAGCAAGGGTCAGTGGTTCCCAGCAGGGCTCAGCAAGGCTCAGTGGTGCCCAGTGATGCCCAGTGATGCTCAGCAGGGCTCAGGAGCACTGAGAGGTGCCCAGTGATGCTCAGCAGTGCTCAGCAGGGCTCAGCAAGGCTCAGTGATGTTAGCAGATCCCAGCAGGGCTCAGTGATACCCAGCAGGGCCCAGCAGGGCTCAGAAAGGCTCAATGGTGCCCAGCAGGGCTCAGGAGCACTCAGCAGTGCCCAGCAGTGTTAGCAAGGCAGCAGCAAGGAGCAGTCAATGGCAGAGGCAGGTGTGACACCCCTGGCACAGAGGCAGGTGTGACACCTCTGGCACATCCTGGGACCCGTGTCCGTCCTGGTACTGCTGGCATCCCCTTACCTGCACGGCTGCTGTGCTTCTGGGGCTGTGTCTGTCTGTCCAGGCAGTGAGAAATGCTGCCCCTGGGGCCTGGCTGGGAGCCAGGGTCATGCCCAGGGAGGTGCAACCCCCATGAGGGTGCTGGTGCTGGCACAGCCCCTCTGCCCCCATGGGATGGGCGACTCTTGGCATCTCTCCTTCCATTCCACTCCTGGCCAGCAGCAGGGTCCCCTCAGCCCCATCCAAAGACCCCAAATGGGCTCTGCCCCATTCTGGTGCCAGTCTGAGCTCTGCCCCAAACCCCCCCAGCCCCGTGTGCCCCCCAGCTCCCTGTGCCTGGCACTGCTGCCTCAGCCTGCCCAGAGAAGCTGCAAACAGAGCAGGGAGGATGGAACTGCAGCAGAAACACGAGCAGGGCTCAGGGCAGGGCCCTGAGCTGCGAACCAGCCATGGGTTGGGGTGAAAGCAGAACCAAGGAGGGATGTTCAGTGCCCTGCGCTTGGGGAGGCATCGAGCAAGCTGAGGGTGGCACAGAGGGCAGGGGCAGCAGCCTGCAGGGAGCTCAGCGGGCACCTACCCGCCTTCATCATCTCACTGCCTTCCACTGCCTTCATGGGGCTGCTGGAGAGCCTCTTGTCAGCTGGAGACGGAGAGGAGACACTGCCTGAGACCGGCTGTGCCCCAGCGTGTGCCCCATGGATGGCACCTGGGAGGGCTCCCCCACCCAGGGCACACAGGGGCACAGGGCTCTGGCATGGCTCTGCCCACCCATCCTGCCCTCAGGGCAGCAGGAGGGCACGGTTGGTGCTGAAACACAGCCGAGAGATCAGGATTTACCTACCCTTAACTGTGCCCAGGGGACTCTGCAAAAAACAGAAGGGAGAGGTTAAAGGAGCTTGCAGGAACTGCCATAGACCCTCTGCGTGCACACCCACCACCCACGGCCCCCCAAACCCCCCAGGGATGGGCACCCCGACCCCATGGCCAGCTGCCCTGCCCACCTTCTGCGTGTTGGGGACAGCCTCAGCCTTCTTCTCCTCCTTGGCTGCTGCCTCTGCCAGGTTCTCCTTGGTGGAGGCCACTGAGCTGCTGTTCTCCAGCATCTCCAGCTCCTTCTCCAGCCTGCAGGGAGAGCCAGGGCTGAGGGCAGTGTGGGACAGGGAAATGGGGTGCAGCCACACAGGGCAGGGGAGAGGGGACACCCAGATTGTCCCCACAGGGTGCAGGGACACACAGACTGTGGCATGGCTGTCACTTTGCAGGGGAAAACTGTGGGAACCCAGAACATCCCTCTGGCTGTCCAGGATGGCCAGGACCCCTGCCAGGGGGCTCAGAGACCCTGGCACAGAGCCCAAAACACCTGTGGGTTTGATTATCACCAACCTTATATGAAGATCAGCAAGCCACAACAGTTTAGGCAGAATAATAGTGAAGTTATCACAGGGTGGAAAAGGAAATTTTGGGGTTTTTGGTATGGGGGTTCAGGAGGCAAGATGGAGGGAACTGGGTGTGTCCAGTGTTTCTCCTTCTTCTTCTTGGCCTCCATCTTCTGCTGTGATGGTGGCACTTACAGATTGGTTTGGAGTAGAAGCTCACTGTCTAACATAGGTGATAAGAATTGGGAAGTAATTGTAAACATTGTGCACGTAGTTTTTAGTATAAAGACATAACATTGCCCTGGGGGCAGGCAGAGTGCCTGGACTGTCTTGCTGAGTGGATCTCAGCAGGGCAGGAGAAAGAATTTTATAGATAAGATACAATAAACAACCTTGAGACCGAGAAATGAAGAGCTCTGACTCCTTCTTCAAGCACCGGGCTGGGAAAAGAGATTTTTGAACTCTTCTCGGGGTCACTGTGACCAGCTGGAGACCCCGACACAAAAGCCAATGGGGTCAGCACCAAAGGGATGGCAGAGACCCCACCATGGGCACTGGGCAGGGGGAGTGACCCCTGCACAGTGACCCCTGCACACTTGGTGTTGCTCCATCATCCTTCTGCTCCTGCAGTGTCCCTCCAAACCTGGTTGTGCTTCCACGAGGACAATCTCAGCTCTCAGCCCCTCTGGGGTGCAGCAGAGCTCGGGGCAGTCCCCATGGATCCCATGGAAGGGCTGCAGCCCCAGCAGAGCTCCCCGGGCTGCTCACCCCGCTCTGGCAGGAATGCATTGCACCATTAGCAGCAAACAATGGCCCGTGGTGCCTGACCCCTGTGTGTGTGCGTGCACCGTGCTCGGTAATTAGCGGCTCCACCGCACTGATTGCGTTCCTCATTCTTTTACGAAAAATCCTTTCCTTATGATTTTTCCTCCTGAGAGGCTGAGAGGCCTCAGGAACAAAATGTGAACAATGGTTATCTGCTGCTGTGGAGTGCAACAGGTAGATTTTTGATTAGCCTATTTTGGTTGTTTCTAATTAATGCCCAATCACAGCCCAGCTGGCTCGGACACAGAGTCTGAGCCACAAACCTTTGTTATCATTCTTTGCTATTCTATTCTTAGCCAGCCTTCTGATGAAGCCTTTTCTTCTATTCTTTTAGTATAGTTTTAATATAATATATACCATAAAATAATAAATCAAGCCTTCTGCAACACGGAGTCAGATCCTCGTCTCTCCCCTCAAACTGAGACCCCTGTGAACACGGTCACACAGCAGCTCCAAGCTCAGCGTGCCCTGCCTTGTTCCCAGCACCTGAATCTCAGCACCCACCTGCCCAGGGATGCTGGAAGGGTGCCCAGAGGTGCCCAGGGATGCTGGAGAGGTACCCAGGGATGCCCAGGGATGCCCAGGGATGCCCAGGGGTGGCCAGGGGGTCTCTGGAGGGACTTTTGTGCCCTCTACCTGCACCCCAACACCCATCCCCACACCGGCCCTGTTACCTCTGGATGGTCTCCTCCAGCTCCTTGGTCTTCACCTCGTCCTCCTGCATCTGTTTCTTCATGGCCTCTTCCTCCTCGGAGGCAGAAGCCGGGGCTCCCTCCAGGAGCCATCTCTCCCGCAGAGCCTTGGACTGGGGGGCACAAAAGGGGGGTCACCATCCTGCCCTCCCCAGCTGGGGAGGATCCCGGGGGTCTCATGGGGGGATTCTCACCTTGAGATGCTGCAGCTGCCTCCGGTCATCCTCCAGCTGCCGCCTTTTGTTCTCGATCTCCGTCTGACGCTTCCGCTTCTCCTGCAGGGACAGAGGGGTCGGTGCGGGGAGGGGAGAGCACCAGGACAAAGGGGGACCCCGGGGGATAGGGGTTTCCAGTGAGAAAAATGAGTGTTTTATGATTGGCTTTTCACAAATATAAAAATGAATATTGAATGTGTTGTGATAGAGAGTGATGCTGTGTTAATTCCCTTAAGTAGTGTGGTAAATATAGTTTTAGGTTATAACGAAATGTTGAAATAGAAACGATGCTATGTAGGATACTTTTTTTTTAAAGAAAGGAATTGCAGAGAGGTAGCAGCCACAGGACACCTCAATCTTTCAGAGCAAGAGAATTTATTGCCCTCTTATCAGAAGGAACAAACTTCTTCCCACCTCGCTCAGTCAGGATTCAGAGGAAGAAGCTGACACTGCCCAGACAGAATCCTGTGTTTGAATGGAATTTATGCATCATGTATGAAGTGTATGAATATGCAATGGGCTAATGTTTTTAAGGGTCAATCCTTTGTTAACTGTGTCTTTTTTTGGGCTCGTGCTGCCCAGAAAAAGGTACCCGGATGTCTGGAACTCTTTGTTTTTATTGTCTCATATTGTCCTAATTCAAATGGTCCAAATCATTATTACTAATTATTATATTCAATATACTATTATACACAATTATGATATTTAATATATTAATTAATATATAATTATTATATTTAATATATTAAAATACAATATACTTAATGATAATTTATAATATATAATGTATATTTGATATCATTATTATATTAAATATATTATTATCTATCACTATATAAAATTTATTATAATTATAATTATATAATTATTATATAGTATTATAATTATATAATTATATAACTATTATATTACATTATTATTATTGCTATTATTATTATTATTACTATTATTATTATTGTTGTTGTTGTTGTTGTTGTTGTTGTTGTTGTTGTTGTTGTTGCTATTGTTATTATTTCTATTTTTACAACCATTTTATTATTATTAAACTTTTAAAATTTTAAAACCAAGCGGTTTTTCACACCAGCCTTAGGAACACCTCATGGCAAAGCTGGTACCGAATCCCTGCTCTCTTTGGGACAAATTGAGGCATTGAGGGTGTGGAGGATTTCTCAAAATGCCATCTCCAAATGTCACCGTCCCCTGGGCTGGCCCCGCGGGCTCTGCCTCGTCCCCCCCTCGCTGCCACCCGTCCTGGGGCTGCTCCAGATCGTTTCAGCAGAGTCAGAGCCGGCGCTTTCTGCTCTGCTCCAGAACAATTTGCCCTTTGTGTGGCACAGATCGGCCGGCTGCCGGCGGGGCCGGGCACTGGGGCTGAGCTGGGTGGGTTCGAGCAGCTCCCCTGCCCTGCTCTGAGCTGGGAGGGGTCAATCAGCAGGGCCCCAACTGCTCCCTAGTTAATATAATATATATAATATAGTTATTTATAATTAGTTATTTGTAATTTTTATGCATATTTATAATATATATATTTATATAATAGTTATTTTTAATTAGTTATTTATAATTTTATACATGTTTATAATATGTGTATTTCTATAATATAGTTATTTTTAATAATATTATTAATATAAGATATAATATAGTGATTTATAATTAGTTATGTGTAATTTATATATAATATATAGTTATAATATATATCTATATAATAAAGATATTTATAATAATATTATTAATATAATATATAATATAGTTGTTTATAATTGGCTATTTGTAATTTATATATATTTATAATATATATTTATATAATAGAGTTATGTATAATAATATTATTTATATAATATATATAATAGAGTTGTTTACAATTAGTTATTTGTAATTTATATATATTAAATATATTTATAATATATTTATATAATAGAGAGATTTATAATATTATTAATATAGTATACATAATATAGTTATTTATAATTAGTTATTTATAATTTTATCCATATTACCTATTTATAATATATATTTATACAATATAGTTAATTATAATAATATTATTAATATATTATATATAGCTATTTATAATTCGTTATTTGTAATTTTTATATATAATATCTATTCATAATAGATATTTATATAATAGAGATATTTATAATAATATTATTAATATAATATATAATATAGTTCTTTACAATTAGTTATTTATAAATTTTATATATATTTATAATATATATTTTTATAATAGAGTGATTTATAATTATATTATTAATATAATACATATAATATAGTGCTCATGCCGGGCATGGCTGGAGAGCAGCATCCTCAGCCCTTCCTGGGGAAGGAATCATCACTCATTTCCCTCACTTGGGGCTCGTTAAGGCGCTGCTTCATTAATTAAACCTCCCAGCTTCCTGTTGCTCACTCTGTCCCCGTTTCAAGCTGTGACACCCCAAGAAGAGCCCCCATGGGCCATTCTGAGCCCTCATTCAGCTGCTGGGGACCCCGATGTGTGGCTGAGCACCTTCCCCAGCTCTGCTGCACCTCCTCCTGCCCGTGTCTGCCCTGTGCTGTGGGTGATGCCCTGGGGCCAGGGAGGGACTCACCGCGATGGCCTGCAGCCTCTCCTGCTGAAGGGTGCTGGCCTCCACCACCCTGCGGAGAGAGCAGAGAGCAGCTGTGAGCGGGGACAGCAGTGGCAGGTCACTGGGACAGCTGTGACACTGGCACTGGGGGACACTGACCAAGGCCGAGCCCTTCCCTTTGACCATCTGCTTCCTCCTTGCTGCCCTGGCACCATGCATCCCTCACTGCTTGGCTCATCCAGGCACCTCTTGGCCCCTGTCCTGCCCAAATCCTGCCCAAATCCGGCCTTGCCCAGCCCCTGGAGCGCTCAGCTCATGCAGACACTGTCCTGCTGTGGGGCAGATGGAAGCTGTGAGCACGGAGGAGATGGAGCAGGGCACTGATGGAGCTGTGAGGGGCAGGAGCGGGATGATGCTGGAGCTGGATGATGCTGGAGCTGTGAGGGGCTGGAGCAGGGTCCTGCTGGGGCTGTGAGGGGCTGGAGCTGCGAGGGGCAGGAGCAGGATGATGCTGGAGCAGGATGATGCTGGAGCTGTGAGGTGCAGGAGCAGAATGATGGAGCTGCGAGGGGCTGGAGCAGGATGGTGAATCTGTGAGGGACAGGAGCAGGATGATGCTGGAGCAGGATGATGCTGGGGCTCTGAGGGGTTGGAGAAGGGCCCTGCTGGCTGCCCCGTGTTCCAATCTGGCTCACGCTTTCCATTCCAATTTCCAAGCCCTTTCTTGGCTGCTCACACCTTTCCCCGGCTGTGACCTTTCCGGGCTGTGTGCACAGGCACATGTGCACAGGCAGACAGACAGACTGACTGACACACTCGTGTGCACTGACAGATACACACATGTGCACGGACAGACTGACACGCTCATGTGCACAGACAGACACACGGATACAGACACACACATGTGCACAGACACACACATGTGTACGGACAGACACACACATGCACAGACAGACACACAGACACACCCAGACACACACCCCAGCAGCCTCTGCTCCCCGTGCCACCCCTGGGCACCTCAGCAGCCCGGCCATGCCAGGATCCCTCCGCTGCCAGCTCCTCTCTGGCCTGGCACGGCTCTCCCAGGGATCATCAGGGATCATCCCCATCCCCACAGCCCCCTGTCCCCATCCCACAGCCCCCTGTCCTTGTCCCCAGTGTGTGGTGACCCAGCCCAGCCCAGCCCCGGGGCCCCAGGTGCGGGGCAGTGCCCGGTGGGACCGGGATGCCCCACAGGAGCCGCTGGCTGCCGGCCAGGCTGTGCTAATGAAGCGCTGAGCTGTGCCACTAATTAGGGTGGGAGGCACCGAGGTATTGCCAGCGATGGATCAGCTCTGCTCCCTTCCTAGAGCAAGGGATGGAGAAGTGGGCTCAGTGCTGCCAGGGAGGGAGTTTGACAAAGATGGGGGTGCTGAGCCCCACAAATGGCACCCTGGGCTGTGCCCTCCTGTGCCACCATGTGTGTGCCCTCACAGGGGCTCCCCACAGGCTGCCCCACCACTCAAACGGGCTCTGCGGGCTCAGAGGAGCCTCTGCTCCCTCCTCGAAGGCAGCAACGAGCTGGGAGCTGCTCAGAGGCGCCGTCCTCCCCTCACCCCACACGCTGGGGATCCCTGTGATGCACAAAATCCAGGCCAGGAAAACAAACCCTGGGGAAGGTGTTGCTTTTGTGGTGGTTATTTTTGTGCTGTTTGCAGCGACGCTGGGACTGCTCTACCGGCACTGCTCTCACATCCCTGTGTCCCCTGTGTCCCCTGTGTCCCCTCACCACCCCACACCCCATCATCATGGTCTTCCTCCTGGTCTGGGTCCCCTCAGCCCAGCCCTTGGCACCCCCACACTCCCAGCCCTGTTTCTCTCCTGGATCTCGCACTATTCCACAGATCCAAACTTTTACAGCATTCCTGAAACATTCTGTTCTGCTTTTTGCTCCCTCCTCCATCCTCTTTTTTTTTTTTTATTTTCCATTATTTGCTGCAGACTCCACATTCCCAGGTCAGACGCCAGGAAATCTTCCTGGCCCAGGGAGAGACACAAAACAGGCTGGGACAATCTCTCAGAGCCTGCTCAGACCCTGCCCTGGGGGCTCTGATCCATCCTGGGGGGCTGAGCAGGGACCCCCCAAGCCCCCCCCAGTCCCTGCCTGCTTGGACAAGGCACTGAGGTGGAGTGAGGGGGTCCCAAGCCCCCCAAAACCCCCATCCTGCCTGCCCTGCCCTGTCTCTGGGGCCCTTGTGACTGATGGAGGCGGTTCCCTGGCGACGGTTCCCTGGCAACGGCGCCATGGCAACGGGAGAGCGCCAGGGGGATGTGGGGGGATGCTCAGGGGGATGTGGGGGGATGCTCGTGGTGGCTGAGGGAGCACAGGGGTTGGGGTGCCCTCCCCAGGCCTGGCACCCTGACACAGTGCCAGTCAGAGCTGTGGCATCACCGGGGCATCTTTAGGGGTTCTGGGGCTCCTGATCCATCCTGGGTGCCAGCAAGGGTGGGAAGGTGATCCCAGGAGCCACTGAGCTCCTCAGGAGCCTCCAGCCCAGACAAGGAGCAGGGAGGAGGAGCAGGGACATGGGGATGATGCCCTGGGGACTCCCAGGAGCAATTACCAGGCTTGAGGCTGGAGCCACACACACATGTGAGCACACACACACCCGTGCTCTCCCTGGGCTCTCCTGCTCGTGGTGGCAGAAGGACCACAGGGGTTGGGGTGCCCTCCCAAGGCCTGGCACCCTGACACAGTGCCAGTGAGAGCTGTGGCATCATTGGGGCATCTTGAGGGGTTCTGGTGCTCCTGATCCATCCTGAGTGCCAGCAAGGGTGGGAAGGTGATCCCAGGGGCCACCAGCCCAGACAAGGAGCAGGGACAGGGGAATGACACCCTAAGAGCTCCCAGCAGCCATCCCCAGGCCCAAAAGTCAGACTCACACTCACATATGAGCACACACACACCCGTGCTCTCCCTGGGCTCTCCTGCTCGTGGTGGCAGAGGGATCACAGGGGTTGGGGTGCTCTCCCAAGGCCCAGCACCCTCACAGAGCGCCAGTCAGAGCTGTGGCATCACCGGGGCATCTTTAGGGGTTCTGGTGCTCCTGATCCATCCTGGGTGCCAGCAAGGGTGGGAAGGTGATCCCAGGAGCCACCGAGCTCCTCAGGAGCCTCCAGCCCAGACAAGGAGCAGGGAGAAGGAGCAGGGACACGGGGATGATGCCCTGGGGACTCACAGGAGCAATCCCCAGGCTTGAGGCTGGAGCCACACACACATGTGAGCACACACACACCCGTGCTCTCCCTGGGCTCTCCTGCTCATGGTGGCAGAGGGATCACAGGGGTTGGGGTGCCCTCTCCAGGCCAGGCACCCCAACAGAGAGCTGTGGCATCACTGGGGCATCTTTAGGGGTTCTGGTGCCAGCAAGGCTGGGAAGGTGATCCCAGGGCCACCAAGGTCCTCAGCAGCCACCAGCCCAAAGGAGCAGGGACATGGGGAATGACACCCTGACAAAGAGCAGGGAGAAGGAGCAGGGACATGGGGGATGACATCCTGGGAGCACCCAGGAACAATCCCCAGGCCCAAAGCTGGACTTACACACCCATGTGAGCACACACACACACTCCCGTGCTCTCCCAGGGCTCTCCCCGGGCTCTCCAGCTCTTTCCAGCCCTGCTGATGCTGCCGTTTCCCACCATCACAAGGGAAGCCCGTGACCTTTTGTCTCCTCCCCGCCTGACATGAAACAATAATGTTTATTTGCCTTCCTCCGGTTTTTTCCCATTAGCTCATCCAAATGTGTGAAGAGCCGCTTGGAGCTGCTCCCCTGCCCTGCCCTCCCTCCCCGCCCGAGCTGGGGGAGCCCAGCAGAGCTCCCTGCGTGGAGCAGGCCCGGGCTGTGTGGCAAAGGCGGCAATCGAGGCATCAGCGCTGATTTCCAGCTCCGTTTCCATGCCAGGAGCTCGGAGTGACGAGGATGCAAAGCTCTGTCACAAAGCCACGAACAGCGGGGCCGGATCGAACGCCCCCATGGCAGGAGAGGGAGGGGAAAGGAGGGGAAGGGGAGGGGGCTGCAGCCGCCCTGGGGCTGCCATGCATCGACCGTGAAGGCAAATGCATCATCGACAGCGGGATGGGGCAGGGATGGGCAGAAATGGGCAGGGATGGACAGAAATGGGCAGGGATGGGCAGAAATGAGCGTGGCCAGCACAGGGTGGGGACCATGCTCAGGTCCTGCTGCATCCATCCAGCATCCAGGGCATCCCCCCTGCCCTGCCCCACACTGTCAGCATCACCCCAGTGTCCATCACACTCCTCCCCGCTGCCTGCACAGCCTCAGCCACCCGGGGAGGGGACAGTGACAGTGACAGGGACAGAGACAGGGACAGGGACAGGGTGGGGACCATGCTCAGGTCCTGCTGCATCCATCCAGGGCATCCCCCTCCTGCCCCACACTGTCAGCATCACCCCAATGCCCATCGTGCCCCTTCCAGCTGCCTGCACAGCCTCAGCCATCCCCGTGCCCGGGGAGGGGACAGGGACAGGGACAGGGACAGGGACAGGGACAGGGACAGGGACAGAGGGGGGAGGAGATGGCAGCCCCAGGCTCCCGAAAAAAAAAAAACCAAAAAAACCGCAGATGCATTAGAGCAAAGCCGAGCTGCCTGATTGATTCTCCGGGCTGAGACGTGGGCTGGGAGTGCCAGGAGAAAATGGATCCCATGAATATTTGATGAACGGAGGCTCGGGGAAGGGAGTTTGATTGGAAAATTACAGATCTTTCAAACAATGGTTCAAGTGCCCTCCAAACACTTGGGTTTCCAGCTCCTTTCCAGTTAGAGGAGCAAGGAAACTCCCCCCAGGATTCATGAATGGGAGTGGAGCCGGCTGCTCCCCACCCCCAGGGGCAGTGGCAGTGCTGGCACTGGCCAGGATGTGGCACCTGTCCCCTGTCACAGCCATCCCTGTGTTGCTGTGTGCCAGGAGCAGCAGTGCCATGAGCACAGGCACAGATGATGCTCCGAGGAGGCAGCAGGAAGGTGGATCCAGAGCCCTGACACCCAGACAAGGAGCAGGGACATGGGGGATGGCACCCTGGGGACTCACAGGGAGCTCAGTGCTCAGTGCCAAGCCCAAGATCTGGGCCCAACCCAAGGAAAAACCTGTCTGGGGCAGGATCCACCCGGCTCCTCTCCCTGCTCCAGGCTCATCCTTGTGCCTGACAGTGGCTCCTGTCTGGGGCCTGGGGGCTGCTTGTCTCGGGATGCACTGAGGAGATGCAGGAATCTGGGCTGTGCACCTCCTCAGCTTTCCTGGGGCATCTCCACTGCTTGAAGCCCATCTCAGCTCCCAGCCCAGCTCCCAGCCCTGCTGCAGCCCCATGAACCCCCACATCCCTGGGGGAAGGGGCTGTTTCCAGCCAGGAAGCAGCAACACCAACAGCAGCGGCTTCCCAGGAAACCTGCTCCAGTTCCTCCCAGTTCCTCCCAGCAAGGCAGGTCCAGCTGAGAAGCCCTGTGAGCTCTGAACCCCCTGATCTGCCAGCCCCAGGCAGGGCTGGGTGCTGTGGTGGGGTGTTGTTGTTGTGGGGTGCTTTTGTGGGGAGCTGTTTTGGGGTGCTTTTTTGGGGTGCTGTTATGGGGTGCTGTTTTGGGGACATGGCAAGGTGCTGCCCTGCTGTTGTGGGGTGCTGTTGTTGTGGGGAGCTGTTTCGGGGTGCTGTTCTGGGGTTTGTGGCCTCCTCTGCTCCAGCTGGGAATGGTGACAGTGCTGCCCCAGCTGGACACACGGACAGGACAGAGCTGATCCCTTCTGCAGGCAGCAAGGTCTGGCCTGGGTTTTATTTCTCCCTGGAATGCCAGCAGAGAGCCAGGGCTTGAGCCCCTTCCCAAAGGACTCATGGCAGAAATCTCAGTTATTTCCCAGGCAGAAATCTCAGTTATTTCTCAGGCAGAAATCTCAGTTATATCCCAGGCAGAAATCTCAGTTATTTCCCAAACAGAAATCTCCCTGTTTCCCCTGCAATTGCCACTTTCCAATCTCCCTCTTTCCCCTGCAATTGCCACCTTCCAGCCAGGGCAGGCAGGACCAGGAGAGCCCTCACCCTCAAAGCCAAGGGGAGAGCAGCAAAACAAACCAGCAGAGCAGCCAGATGTGAAAGCAGAATTTGCAGCTGCTCCCGAGCCCTGACAGCAGCGGGAGCAGAGGGCACAGGAGCAGCTCCAGAGGGACCAGCACGGCCTTTTCCAGAGTTGGAAACTTTCTGCCAAAGCTCCCTGGGCACCAGTGGGTGGTGGCAGCCAGGACCCTCCTGCTGTGCCAAGGCAGAGCAGGAGCCAGGGCACGGTGCCCACCCCAGCAGTGCCCACCCCAGCAGTGCCCACCGAGCCAGGCCAGCACCTTGCCATGTCCCCAGCTGCCCTGGGGCCCTCCTCATCCTCCAGCCCCTCAGCCAGGCCCTGCAGCTCAGTGCCTGGAGGGGCTCTGTTGTTTTCCTTCGTGGCTGTGCCCCCCACCCGGGGTCACTCATGGATTTTCACTCAAAACAAAGAGACGCTGGCAGGTGCTGGAAGGAGAAACCCTTTGCGCGCCTCTGTGGTTGTTTGGGAGGGAGAGCTGGTGCAGAGCAGGGTGAATGTGGAGCCCAGGAGCCCCCAGCCTGTCCAGCACCATCCCCAGCATCTCCTCACCCCCTCCCCAGGGCACGGCACACCCCAGGGCTCTGCCCTTCCCCTGGCTGCTGCCTTTTGGCAAATCACACGCAGCTTTTCCTCCCCTAAGAGGCTCCTTCCTGCAGGGACTGTGGCACCCTGGAGCTGCCCCAAGCCTGGCCCAGCAGCACAGAGAGCCCTCTGTGCCTCCCCAGCCCCACAATTCCCACAACACCCCCAGAGCCCACCCTGAGCCCAGCGCACCCCTCCCCATTGCCCCCATGGCTCCCATGTGCTGGGAGGGACCTGTTGAGCCCCCCTTGTGTCACTACCCAGCGACAATGGCGAGGTGCCCACCAGGGTGAGGTGCCCACCAGGGTGAGGGGCACCCCAAAACTGCCGGGAGGAACCCCCAGTGCCAACCCCAGTGGGGTGTTCACCGTGCTGGGCACCAGAGCCACCAGGCCTGGCTGAAACAGGGCCAGCGCTGCCTTCCAGCACCTCGAGCACCCTCCTGGTGTCCCCAAAGGGGTAAAACCAGCAGGACAGCCGGTGGCCACCAGCCCCTAGTGGCCTCTGCCTGCTCCGTCCTTCCCCCACCCTCCCGGCTCCGGTCAGGGCCCCAGCGCAGCACACAAAGGATGAGGCCGGGCTCCCACAGCGTCCGTCTGTCCATCCGCTCCACCAGGATCCCCCCGGCCACAGCCGCTCCCCCAGGGCAGGGTTTGGGGGCGCAGCGCAGGGAGGGGTCCGCAGCTCTCCCCACCCACTCACCCCACCACACGCAGCAGCAACAACAGGTTCGAAACACAAAAATAAACGCCCTGTCCACCCCCTCGCCCCGATTCCTGCGCCGCTGCCAGCCCCGGTACCCCGAGCAGCGTCGGCACCCCCGCACCCCAATCCCGGGGCCTCCTCCGCTGCTGCTGCTGCTGCCCCCCAAAACCGGGACCGGGACCGGGGAGGGGCCGCACCTGCTGAGCGGCACCGGGGGCAAGGAGGCCCCGGGATGGGGGTCCCGAGCCCCAAAACCGAGGGGATGGGAGCCCCCCGTATTGGGGGCCTGAGCTCCAGGATCTGCCGGGATGGGAGCCCCCAGTTTTGGGGTCACAAGCGTAGGAATGGGGGGGATGCGAGCCCCACCCCCGGTTTTGGGTGTCCCAAACCTCAGCATAGGGGGGTTCAAACCTCCATTACCGGAGTGCTGAATCCCCAGAATCGGGGGGATGCGAGCCTCCGGTTTTGGGGTGCTGAGTGCCCGAGAGCGGGGGGATATGAGACCCCACGTTGCGACTCCCCAGCCGCGGCATCGGGGGTGTCGGAGCCCCCGGTAGGACGGGGCAGAGCTTCCCGCATCCCCATGCGGGGGTCCCGAGCCCCCCCCGGCCCCCGCTGCCCGCTCCCCCCTCCCGGTACTGCGGTCTGAGCCGGCGGGGCCCGGGGGAGCCGCGGCCCGGTACCGGGACCCCGGCTCTGCTCCGGTACTCACTCCATGGTCCCGTGGCGGCTCCGGTGGGCTCGGCGAGCGGCGGAGCGGGGCCGGCGGCCGCCGGCGTGCCGGCGCTCAGGGCCCGGCGGGCGGCGGCATCCCCGGCGGGGCTGCGGGATGCGCAGGGATGTCGGGACCGCGCCGGTGCTCCCGCCTCCCTCCCTCCCGCACAGCTCCGTCTGCCGGGCGCGCCCCGCCACTGCCGCCGCCCATCGGCCGCGCCAGGCTCGGGTTATCTGCTCCTGGGGGTCCCAGATGCGTCCCGGCCCCCCATTCCTCACCCGGAGCTTTTGGGGGTCCCGAAGCGGGGCCTGGGGAGGGTTGGAGGGGCTGCATTCAGAGCCCGTCCATGAGCACAGCCCCTGTCAGGTGTAACCCCCTCTCCTGTGAGTGCAGCCACCCCGTCCTGCCCCACTCCAGGAACTCTTTGCTGCCCCTTTCCCCTCCCCTATTTCCCAACCCAACGGCCCAACTGCCGCAGGAAGCCCTGAGCCGCCCTGCGTTGGGAAATCTGCCCAGCTCTGCCGGGACAGAGCTCTGCTCTGGGCCCCGGAGCGAGCCAGGCTCTGCAGTGAGGGTCAGCACATCCCCCCACCCCATGCCCCCCATCCCTGCACCCCTTTTTGCGCTCCAGGTTGATGCAGAACAGACGGAGGAAACTGCCCCTCTGCCCACAGCATCATCCCAGAGTTATTGGGGTTTTGGAGGGGCTGAAAGAGGCGTGGGATGGGGGCACAGCACAGCCCCTGTGCCACCCACAGCACTCCCGGGGACACTGTGGAGTCTGAGAGGTGTCCTGGGGCCCCGCTGCTGCCACCTCCCTGCGGAGAGGGGATTCATGGCAGGAAAAAAGGGAATCAGGGCTGAGGAGCTGCTCTGCTCCTCATCTCCCACTCCGGGGGAAGCTGCACGGGAGCCCTGAATTGCACAAAGCAGCAGCACCCCGAGGAGGAAGCGGGAGGGAAACACCCGCCCCCATCCCAAAGTTCAGCCCCTGTGGGGGGATTTAAGCCCCCCCAGCCCCAGCAGCCCCAGCGGGGGTGGCAGTGTCCCCTCTGTGTGCCACCATGGTCACAGCTGGGCTCTTCATCCTCATCCTGCTCCCAGCTCTGGCTCCGGCAGGTAATGAGAGAATTGGGGCGCCAGGGCACATCCCCAGGGTGGGAGATACCAACCCCGGCCTCCAACCGCCCCCTGCACCCACCAGGCACCCAGGGCAGCCAGATCATCGGGGGCAAGGCTGCAGCCCCCCATTCCCGGCCCTTCATGGCCTCCATCCAGCTGGACGGCGAGCACGTCTGCGGGGGCTTCCTGGTGTGGCCCCGCTGGGTGATGACAGCCGCCCACTGCTTCATTCCCAGGTGAGCCTTGGCACGCTGTGCCCCCTTCCAGCCACTCAATCTGCCCCCATTGAGTCCCCCCTGGCCATCCCCCCATCCCCAGGGGCCACCGGCGCCCTCTGAGCCCCGCCTTGGCCGCAGGCGCAGCCCCTCGGTGCGGGTGGTGCTGGGAGCCCAGCGGCTGCAGGAGCCCGAGGGGTCCCAGCAGATTTTCAGCGTGCTCGAGTCCATCGCCCACCCGCTGTACACCCCCGGTGCCGCGGACAACGACATCCGCCTGCTCCGGGTGAGTCTGCACCGCCGGGCACGGGGGGCGAGAGGGAGATGGGTGTCCCCTGGCCTCGGGAAACCGGGAGGGAGCTGGGGTGTCCACAGCCCCAGGAGGGAGGTTGGATGTCCAAGACCCTGGGGCACCTGGAGGAGGTTGGGTGCCCCATGGCCCCAGGAGGGAGATGGGGTGCCCCACGGCCCTGGGGCACTGGGAAGAGGTTGAGTGTCCCACGGCCCTGGAGCACCGGGAGAGAAGTTGGATGCCCACAGCCCCAGGACATAAGGAGGAGGTTGGGTGCCCACAGCCCCAGGGCTTTGAGAGGGCAATGGGATGCCCCATGGCCCCGGGGCACCAGGAGGGAGCTGGGGTTGAGTCCTATTCATCCTCCTAGGGCTGCTGAGAGGATAGCCAGGATAGTTAGGAGTGTAGGGTTTAGTGAGAGTGAGGTTATGTAGAGTAGTGAGAAGAGAGCCTTGGAGTACTTGTGGGTATCAGAAGTGGATTGGCACTAGTCCTGGTTTTATTGTGATTGCTGAGGTGAGGATCAGGCAGGACGCTGGGTGTAGATATTGGCCCCGGGGCACGAGGAGGGAGCTGGGTGTCCATGGCCCCAGGACACCAGGAGGAGGTTGGGTATCCACAGCCCTGGGGCACCAGGAGAGAGATTGGATGCCCATGGCCCCAGGGCTTTGAGAGGGAGATTGGGTGCCCCACAACCCCGGAGCACTGGGAGGGAAGTCGGGTGCCCCATGGCCTTGGGAAACCGGGAGGGAGATGGGGTTGAGTCCTATTCATCCTCCTAGGGCTGCTGAGAGGAAAGCCAGGATAGATAGGAGTGTAGGGTTTAGTGAGGGCGAGGTTATGGAGAGTGGTGTGATTGGGGGGAGTTTTATGATGGTGGATAGGAGGAGGCTGGTGGTGAGAGGAGAGCCTTGGAGTGCTTGTGGGAATCAGAAGTGGATTGGCACTAGTCCTGGTTTTATTGCAATTGCTGAGGTGAGGATCAGGCAGGATGCTGGGTGTAGATATCGGGAAGGAGCTGGGGTGCCCCACGGTTCTAGGAGAGAGGTTGGGTGCCCCCCGGCTCCAGGACACTGGGAAGAAGACTGGGTGCACCATGGCCCCAGGGCATTGGGAGGAGGTTGGGTATCCATGGCCCCGGGGCACTGGGAGGAAAGTTGGGTGTCCACGGCTCTGGGAGGGAGGTTGAGGGCCCCACGGCCCTGGGGCTCTGGGAGGGAACTGGGTGTCCGACCAGCCAGGAGCATTGGGATGAATGTTGGGTGTGCACAACCCTGGAGCACCGAGAAGAGGTTGGATGCCCCACGGCCCCGGGCCTCTGGGATGAAGGTTGGGTGTCCCACAGCCCCAAAGAACCAGGAGGGAGCTGGGGTGCCCCACGGTCCTGGGGCTCTGAGAGGGATGTTGAGTGTCCACAGCCCCAGGGCACCAGGAGGGAGCTGGGATGTCCATGCCCCGGGAGGGAAGTTGGATGTCCACGGCCCCAGGGCACCGGGAGAGAGTTTGGGTGCCCCATGGCCTCGGGGTTCTGAAATGAAGGTTGGATGTCCCACGGCCCCAGGACACTGGGAGGAAGATGGGGTGCCCCACGGCCCCAGGACACCTGGAGAAGATTGGGTGCCCCACGGTCTCAGGGCTCTGGAATGGAGCTTGGAGCTGGGGTGTCCCACGGCCCCAGGACACCAGGAAGGAGCTGGGGTGCCCCACGAGGGCCGAGCCGACACTAGATGTCAGCGCTTCTCCGGAGAAGCAGGACCGAGCTGTGGGGTGTGATGGAGGCACTGAGGACACACCGACCACGGCCGGGTCGGGTCTCTCCAGCAGACTGGGACCAGTGCAGAGGGTGACAGGGAGGGGGCCAGGCTCTGTAGGAGGACAGGCAGGGCTGGGGGGGGTCAGCGGGAGCGGTGAGATGAGGCAGGGGCAGCTGGATGGAGGCTCTGCCCCAGCAGCAAAGCCACCCCCGGCCTCGCTGCCCCCAGCTGAACGGGTCGGCCACGCTGAACGAGTTTGTGAAGCGGATCCGCCTGCCCTGCCCGCACATCGACCTGAAACCCGGCACTGTCTGCACCGTCATGGGCTGGGGGGACACCTCCAACTTCGGGGAGCAGCCCACGGAGCTGATGGAGACCAACACCACCATCGTCAAGAGGAGCCTGTGCCGGACGCTGTGGAGGGGCAAGGTCTCGGCCAACATGCTGTGCGCGGCCAGCCGCAGCACCAAGCTGCAGGGAGTCTGCTCTGTGAGTGCCCCCCGGCCCCTGCCCCTCACTGACCCCTCTGGGGGACCCCCAGATCCCCCTCACACCCCTCATTCTGCAGGGAGACTCCGGGGGACCCCTGGTGCTCAAGGACAAGGTCCATGGCATCGTGTCCTTCTCCGGGGAGAGGTGTGGGGACCGCAGGTTCCCTGACATCTACACCAAGATCTCCAATTACATTGACTGGGTGCATCACGTTGTGCGAGGGTTCTGCTCTCAGGAGGGGGAGCTGAAGCACTAGGATGGCTGGGAACCCTGGGGGCAGCCGGGCTGGGGGAACAGGGGCTGAGATCTCTCATGGGAGGGGAGAAGAGAGCCGGAACTTCCACATCCTCCAGCTCTGGAGGGGCTGGGGCTGATGCTCAGGGCTCCAGGTCAGGGCTGGAGCCCCTCTCTGGGGAGTTATGTACCCCCTAGGCTACACCAGAACCCCCCCACACATCCTCCTGCTGTGTCAACATTTACCTTCCTCAATAAACCCTCAGTCCCCATCCCACTGCTTCCCTGTGTGTTTTGATCCCTCTGATTGTCCTGGCTGTGTTTGGATGGAGCAGGGGGATGCAGGAGGGAGGGGGGTGAAGGCCCTGCCCCAGAGGAGCCAGGATCTGCATCCAGGAGCCAGGATCTGCATCCAGAAGCCAGAATCCACATCCAGGAGCCAGGATCTGCATCCAGGAGTCAGGATCTGCATCCGGGAGCCAGGACCTTCATCCAGGAGCCAGGATCTGCATCTGGGAGTCAGAATCTGCATCCAGGAGTCAGGATCTGCATCTGGGGGTACAGGCCCTGCCCAAACCTCAATAAACCCTCAGTCCCCATCCCACTTCTCCCCTGGTGTTTTGATCTTCCTGACTTGTCCTGGATGTGTGTGGATGGATCAGGGGGATGCAGGAGGGAGGGGAGTGCAGGAGCCAGGATCTGCATCCCGGAGCCAGGATCTGCACCCAGGAACCAGGATCCACATCCAGGAGCCAGGATCTGCATCCCGGAGCCAGGATCTGCACCCAGGAACCAGGATCCACATCCAGGAGCCAGGATCTGCATCCACGAGCCAGGATCTGCACCCAGGAGCGCAGGCCCTCCCCTAGAGGAGCCAGGATCCGCATCCAGGTGCTGCCACCCCACAATCATCCCCAGCTGCCTCCCCGCCGGGGTGTGGCTCTCCCGTCCCGTCCCGTCTC